CCTTGCAGACGCGCTTCATTCCAGAGGGATGGAGAGAGCAGTGCGTGCCTGCCGCAGCCCTGCCCTCGCCTTACGCCGGCCCCAGTCCAACATCCCACCAGGGCTGGGCACATGTCAGCCTACGCTTTCTGTAGGGTTTTTTGGGGGATTCACGTAGCTGTTCTGTTTCTTACCTGTTTTAACCCAAGCAGCGGTTTCAGCTGCTTTTTCACTAACGGTTGTTCAAAATACATCTTTGCTTGTCGCAAGCGAAATATTGCTCCCGGGAACACGAGGACGGTTTTGTTTCAGCTCCCTCTCCTGCAGCTGAGGGCTGCAGGTGGCACCGTCCTGCTCTTGTTCTGTCTCTGGGTGAGCTCTCGAGGTAGCAAATCACCCCGTGGACTGTGGGGTGCCCAACGCTCACTGCTGCAGCCGTGGGCGATGACTCCAGCAGCGAGCAGGAGTCCGAGGGCAGCCGTGGCTTTGTGCCTTGGCCAAGGGGGGTACCTGAGCGGTGCTGGCCGTGACGGGTCCCTGGCAGGCATCAGCGGGGAGTTTGGCTGCTCTGCATTTTTGGGGTGACCCCGTGCATCATAGCTCCACAATGGAGAAGGCTGAGGAGGGACCATCTCTGAATCCCCTGGATGCTGACAGAGGCCAAGCAGCCTCTTCTTCCTCCAGCGCTGTCACTCCCGAGCAGGGAAGGAGCTGTGCCCTTATTAACGCTGGTGTCTGCTCTTCATAATCATATGCTGTTATGTGCATTCACCAGGAGCCCTTTGGCCTTAACGACCCCACTGGAATAACCATGCAAAGAAAAAAACCTTCAGGGCCTTGAGCTGCCCATAATTGCAACCCCCAGCCGTAAACATGAGCAGGATCGTGATGCAAATGCCGGGCGGTGGAAGGGAGCGGGTCTGGGTCCGCACGGGAGCAGGAGAGGGTGCAGGGGGCTGCAGCTGTCCTGTGGTGTTGTGGGGGGGGGAACAGCCTTTTTCTCACCTTTCTGCCAGGGCTGGGGACTTGGGGTGCACAGGGGTCTGGGTGGCTTTATAGACAGGCAAAGCAGCTGTGGTTTCCCAGATGGCCACGGTTCTTACTGGGGTTGATAACTGGGTGTCGGGTGACTTGTGAAAGCAGCCACTCCATTAGAAATGCTAATGCTGGCTCCAGCTTCTCCACTTTCCCTTGCTCCATATCTCCCTGATCTTGATGCTAAGTCAAATACAAAACTCCCCAGCTCCTGGCCCTTTCTGGAGCCCCCCAACAGACCCCACTGCTGCCTCCCTCCTGCTTTGCAGCCCATGCCCTTCGCAGGATTAAGCAAGCCGGGCTCTGCAGCCGGTGAGGGAGCCCCTCGGGAAGGGTCTGCGGGGCTCGGACCCCGCGGGGAGCAGCCTTGGCCGGTGGCACCCCCGAGCCCATCGCATCTCCCTTCTCCAGCGAGCCTCTTCTGGAGCCTGACCCGTCTGAATCCCAGCCCAGGGACCCCGTCTCCTGTGGTCTGATGGTGGGAGAGCTCTGGGGTCCTTTGCGTTGGCCGGAGACCCTCCAGTCGTGGTCCTGGGCTATCGCCCCGGCGAGAGGCTGCTCAGGGGCAGGAGGAAAAACTCGGGGCTGTGCAGGGATGCTCCAGCTGGGAGCAGGACCGGGCAAACCTCCGCGATGTTTCATGTATCAAACAGTAATTAGGAGCAAAGGGCAGGGGGGTGCAAAGGCACATTAATAAATTATCTTCCTTGCTGTTAATTGACGTGTCTCAGAGTCAGCCGATCGTTGAGCCGAGGGCTTGGCTCCCCTTCCAGGCGCATCACAGGCTTGTTACTGCCATCATTAGCATATTCAGGTTTCCCTGCTTAAAGCCAATTAGCTCCTGGCCAGGCCTGATTGGGAAGCCGTGGCCACATTTGCACATTTTTGAATTGGTGAAAGAATCAAAAATAATGGAGGCAGGCCTGGGATGGAAAGCGCCCGGGGGGCTCTGCCTGCTGGGGAGGTGCTGGCAGGACACGCTGCCTCCTCCAAAGGGGCAGCAGGGAAGGAGAGGGGGAATATCACAGTAATTAGGAGTAAAAAGGAACATGGCCTAATTTGCTCCCGAGCGGCTTGCCGGCGAGTTCAGCCTTCCATTGCCTTGCACTGAGGTTCAACAGATGCCCTGGTGCTTCCTCCGGGAAGAGGAGGTGATGGAGGGGACTGGGGTGGGGGGGTAAGCACAGCTGCCCACACGTGCCCCCCACCTCGCTTTGGGGAATGGGGGGTCCGGCATGACCCCCGGCAGCCGGAGTCTCCGTGGCAGAGCCGGGAGCGGGGACACAAGGCTGGATCTGTCCCTCCCGACATCCTATCCCCCTCACCGCTTTCTCCCGCCCTGCTTCCCAGCAAAGGTGCTGCTATTTTAGCTGCCTTGAAGGACAAGGCCGGTATCTTAAAGTCTACATAACTGGTTCCAGTTTAACAACTTCATAGCGGCTGTGCGGCCACAAAGGCAGCCTTGTCCCGCCGGGTGAGATAAGCCTGTTGGGGCGATTCATATGCAGATCCGGGTGGTACGGGGTGTCTGCTGAGAGAGGATAAATCTGTCCCAAGCCTTGTCCCCCTCTCCTGGTTCCAAACTGTTTTACATTTACACAAAAAAGGTTCTGTCCCCCATTGAGCCCCGTCCCGGGCAGCCTGTCACCCCGCCTTTGAGAGAGGAGGTCCCCTGGAACCGCAGCCGGACGCCACTGGGTGCCCCCTGCCCAGACAAGGCTGGGCTGGGGTGGGCGAGCGGAGCCGTCACCAGCGCTAAGCTGGGCTGTCCCGGCCGGTTTTGTCCCCCACGTCATCCCGTCGCCCATCTTATCGCCTTGAAAGAGTCACTTTCTTTGGCCCTGCAGAAAGCTCTCAACCATATCCCCTCTGGCAGAAATCCCCTTGCCTTTCACTTGCTTTTGTCGAGGACTTTTTTTGTCAGTGCTCGTTTTTTTTTTTAATAATAATGGGGAGGGGTTTTTTTGCTCCCTTTTCTCTTCCACTTTTGGTGATAACACAGAACCTGCAAGCCCTGATCCGGATGGCACCCGTCACCCACACCTGTGGTTTATCTGGGGTTTCGGAGCCTCCTTCCACGCTCCTAGCACAGGTTGGACCTGCATCTGTGCTAAAGATACTGCCCGGCATTTTCAGGGGGGATGAATTGTGGGCAGAGCCCGCCCCGCCGGCAGTGAAGCTGCTGCACAAGCAGCCGGCATGGGTGCAAACGCAGGGATGCTCTCGGGCTGGAGACTTATTTATCGGTGAGGTTGTCCTCCGACGGGCACATCCATCACTTGATGCTCTCAGCTCCGTACTGGGAGGAGTTCTCCTTTGTCTGTAACAAAATCATCCTGGAGTTGAGGAATCATGAACCAATTAACCCTGGAAAGTTATGTCAGCCCAGTTTTTTGAAGTCTGCTTTGATTACCTGCCTGCTATGGCTGTTAATCTGTATTTAATGCAGCTTTCTGCATTTTTATCAGGGCTGTAAGTTATTGCACCTTGCTACCTCAACAGAGGAGGTAATTAATCTAAACGAGGGCCCCTGGGAGCACAGCCGTAATCTGCAATTTCCCATTGACTATAATAGAGGGAATGTCCTGGAGAGGTCCAGCAGCCCTTGGAAATGCACCTCAGCTGAGAGCAATTAGGGGATGTTACAGACGTGAGCTTGTCGGCTCAGCCCCTCGGTGAGTGGTAACCGCAGCCCCGGGTCGTGGCTGGCTGCCCGTGCAGAGTACGAGGTGGTACAGCAGCCATCGCGCAGCCTCCGAGCACGTGGGTACCACTGGGAGGGGGAGAGGAGGATGAGGATGGGTCACTGGGGTGGGTGGAAAGGAAAACTTGGTGAAATGATGAGCTAAATGGCTCCTGGGAGGCTTTGAAGTAGATGGTGGCATTTCCCATCCCTCTCCGTAATTTTGCTATTTTCTTTAAGCATTAACAGCTTCCCAGGTTGAATATTTCTATGTTGGAAATCCCATTTCTGATGCCACTCAGATGCCAGTTGTTTTACTGTCTAATTTATCAGCTTAATAGAAAGGTAAAAGAGTTTTGTTTTGCTGCCTGGGCACACGGTCTCTTCTTGAAATACAAATTCCCTCCAAGGCTGCTGAGGCACTCCCTCATTGCGGCGTCGCCTACCTGTAGGTGATGCTTAGCATTCCCGAGGTGTTTTCTTAAGGTCAATAAGAATTAACTGTAAATTTTAATTAAAGTTTCCAATGCTTGCGCTGAAGTGGAGCATAACGGAAGCCTGGTCTGCTCTTTGCCAGTTTAAGCCAGATCTGGAGGGAGACAGGGGTTATCAATAATTAACTGGGGTAATTTAGGGGAAAGTATTAGGGAGTTAATGAAAATGTGAAATAGCGTAATTATCTTGCAAGTAGCTGGGAGTGATTGAGCTGCTGAGGAAGAGGAGGTGTTGCACAATTAACTGCTCGGAGGCTGCCGTTCCCAATGCAGTCCTGGGATGATGTTGAGACCCAGCTCCTCTGCCACCACCCTGACCCCAGCAGCCGATGGCTCTGCATTAACCGAGGGCTGGATCGAGGGTTTAGAACCAAGTCAGCGATGTCCAGCCCGTGGGGGGGTCGCACGCCTTTTGTTCCCATCAGAAACGAAGCTGTAGGTGTGTTGGAGCCTGTCTGAGGGTCCGCCTAAGTGCTGGCTTGCAGAGCTGACGGCTCTGATGGACCAGCCTTGGGGGGGGATTTGCATGGGACGGCACTGCCCCACTGCTGTCCCTGGTGGGGGGACCAAGTATGGGGCTGTACTGGTGGGGGGGAAGGTCTCTGCACCCTGTCAGAGCTCACAGGCACACGAACCGCTTGCCGCTGCTCTGGCGGTACCTGTGCAAACAGAGTGGGAATCCCTGCCCCAACATGGGCTTTTACTAAAAATTCTATTTAATTACTTTTTAGTTAAGCCTAGGGTGGTGTGGTTGGCTTTAATGAAATTTGGTGCTATTCCTGTGTGCTGAGAAACCCTTGATCAGCAGGATGAGTGCGGGGAAGGTGCTGGTGCTGCTGGGTGTGGGTCTCCTGGGCTGCCTGCGGTGAGTGGGGTCCTGGGGGTCCTTCTGCCCCACAGACCCCTTAGGGATGGTCTCAGCACCAGGGGGCTCAGCCTGGCCCTTGCTGTCTCCCTGCAAAAAGGAAAAGGGGGAGTAAAATGGCTTTTATTAAAATATTTTAGCAAAACCTTTGGTGGTGCATCCAGACTCACGTCGTTCTTTGTGGTCAATGCGTCAGTGCTCTCGGAGAGCACCGCTGTTCCGGGGTAGCTCACGGGTTTCCTCTCTGGTTTATGTCCTCGGGAACACCACGACGGCAACTGCAGCAAACCCAAACCATCCTGCTTTACGAAAGCTGAGCACAACCATGAATTCTTGAGCTTGGGTCAAATCAGTGCCGGTTTGGGGAGCACAGGCTGAGAAAAACAGTGTTTTGGTTTAATGTGAGCTCTCCAGGCTCTTGGATCATGTAATCCCAAGCATTCACTGTTTGATAATAAAAACTTTGTTGCCCATTGAGGAGAGGGACTGATTTAGGTCTTAAGCCTGTGTTTGCTGAGAGAGGGTTTTGGGCGGGCGAGCAGCACGAGGAAGGAGCCGTTTTGCTGTGCGGTAATCCCGGTGGCATCCAGGCAAGCACTGCGGAGCAGCAGAAATGCCTCAACAAGTCGCCCAGAGAAGCTGCATGAAGCAGCCTGGCAGGTTTCTGAATGTAATTAGAGTTAAACACACTTTCCTGGCTTGGCTTGCGGGGCAGGGAAAGCCAAACCAGCAGGTTGGTGGTGTGCTAACAGCAGCGTTTGGAGATGCGCGGTTGGTTTTTGCTTGGCTCTGGGCAAGCATGGCAGGGAGGGGATGGGGTGGGGGGCTGTAAGGGCCTGATCCTGGTTTGGGAAGGCATTTCCCAGTGGGAACCCCAGCAGTCAGCCCCTCTGGTGAGCACGGTTATTTGGGGGGGGGGGGGGGGGGGTGAAAGGGGGGGGGAACCACCCATTGCTGCCCCAGGATGCGTGTACACCTGAAGGGAATCCTGCCTGCCCGGGCACCACTGGTGCCAAACAGAGGGGCCAGGTTGCTGGGTGGTGATGTTGGGGACAAGAAGTGGTTCTGAAAATGCTGGCATTGTCCAAAAAAAAAAAAAAAAAAAAAAAAGAAGAGGCGGGGGGGAAATGCCACGAGTGGCTTTTGCCTCTGTTTGGGGGAGGGAGTTGTGCGGGGCCCAGCATCGGTTGCAAATGCTTTTAATAAAGTGTTCTTTCCTGCGTCCAGGGGAAAAAAACCAGAAACCTCAAGCCTTTTCCCATTACATAAGGAACAGATGCCGCTGGGCAGAGCCCCGGCTTCCCCACAGCACAGCCCCGGCTGCTGCGTGGCCTGTCCCCTCTCTCTGTGGGGACCCAGCTCCCTCGCCGGGCACAATCCTGCGGTGCCACTGCCGCTCCGAGCAGCGGGATGGGGATCCCTGAAACACCCCGTCCTGCCCCAAAGTGCCGCTGCCAAGAGCTGGCCCCGCTGCGGGACCCAGCCGCAGCCGGGCGGGAAAGTCCATCCTCATCCTCCTGCTCTGCCAGCGTTCCCGCAGGGATCCCCGGAGCAGGGTTTTGGAGCTCTCCCTGCCCTTGCGTGGGTCGGCTTGGCCTCAAACAAGAGACGTTAAAAAAACCTGCCCCTGCCTGGGTGAGGGAGGAGAGGTGTAGGGTGCAGGCGGGGGAAGCTCCTCTCCTTTCCAGTGAACCCCAAGGGACACGAGGTGGAGCAGCCCCAGGGGTTCAGGGGACTCCCCAGGGGGAACCTCGAGTTTTAAAACCGGAATTCTTCCAAGTTCAGGCAAAAGGGAAAGTTCCTGTAGGAAAGAGTCTGTCCAGTCCCAACTCTCTCCTTTTAGTTAAGTGAAACATCACGATTAGACTTTTTTTTAATTTTATTTTATCTCTTGTCACAGTTAATATTCGGGTATTGGTACTTTTTCCAAGAGACTTCCTGATCCCTGGAGCTCATCCTGGGATGCCTCTGGGTATGAAGCAGCTTGGGTTGAATCCCCATGTGTTCGCTGACCCATACAAGTGATTTTGTGTCAGGATGGTGGATGTTTGTTGGCTGGATGAATGTAGGCATCTACACAGCAGCTCCTACGCAAGCGAAGTCATTGCTTGGTGCCTAAGTTTCCCCTTAACCCCCTTCCCTGCTGGGTTAAGTGCTCTGCCATCTGCTAAGAAAAGCCCTAGGTGGGGGCAAAGGGCATGCTTATTCTGTGTATGTGTTATATCTATTTCTGTGCACGCCGACACATAGTTTTTATTTCAGAAGAACTATTGAAGCGGTTTCGTCATTTCCCAAAGTATTAAGCAAACCTCTGAAAGCCTTGTGTCCCCTCCCTGTGGGAAAGCAGCCTCCTGCTTGGGACAGACCCAGTGCGAGGGCAGCTGCCCGGGTCGGGTGGGCAGCAGGGCTGAGCCCCTGGCACCGGAGCAGAACGCTGCTGGGCTCCGAGCAGAATGAGTTTCCAGCCCAGGGCTTTCAGCCAAGAGACTCTGTTTTACGTGGCCGGGGAGGGGGAGCACGCATGTCACCCCGAGCACGATGGAGGGAATGGGAACCGTGGCTTGTGACAGCGTGGAGGAAACAAAGTCGTTTCAATCCCAGATGAGCCCCGTGAAGAACAAGCTCCATCGCTGCAGCGACGTGGGGTGCATTGGCGAGGGCACCCATGGGTGCTGTGGGAGTGAGCTGGTGGGACGTGGCTGGGATGCTGCAGCGAGAGCTGTCGGTCCCTTGGCACATCTGCAGCATCTGCCAGCAAGGCAATCCATGGGGAGCAGCAGCAGCTGGGGGTGGCACTGGGTGTCGGGGAGCCACGCTGGGGGCTGTGCCCGCAGGGACCCGTGAGCTGCCTCCTGGCTGGCCCCACGGTCTCAGCTCGTGGAGCTCCACCGTTGGGGAAACCAAGTCCTCTCTTCACCAGGATGCCCAGAGGGGACTTGTCCACCCCCAAGAAGAAGGGGGACGTGAGGGGCTCTGGGGGACGTCAGGGGCTCTGGGGCAGGTGCCTGCGCTGGTGGCAGGGAGGTCCCATTTTGCAGCCCCTGGCTTTCCTCATAGGGTGACATGCCTGGGTAATTTCTTCGGCTATTAATGCCTCATTAAAGCACACAAGAAAACAATCAGGGCAGTGAATTTTATACAGCACAATGGCTGGGCCCTGAGACATTTTCTGCCTTTTTTTTTTTTTAAAAAGGAAACAGTCTTTTTCTGGCCTTAACTGCTTGCTGTCTGGAGGTAGAGGAGCTGGGAGCCTCGGTGGGCATCTCCATCCCCAGCCGCCGCTTGGGCTTAGCCCCCATGGGTGCACACCCCCGTGATGAGATTTTTCCTCTTTGCAACGCTACGTGGCAAGTCAGCACCTCCAGGACATGTAATCTGTCTGGAGGCTGGGGTGAAAACCAGCCCTGTCCCAAAATCCACATGTTGTGATGCCGAAACTCACGGAGGTGGAGGACAAGGGGGCAGGAGGAATTTCCAGGGCTGGGAAGGGGGTCATCGGGGACCTCCGAGGGGGACCGACAGCCTGCAAGTGCCCTCTGGACCGTGCTGCTGGGGGGGCAGAGTGACAGGGAGTCCCTTCCCAGGGACAGACCCTGGCGGGGGGGACGAAGGGGAGGCTGAAATGAGGTGAGGAAAGGAGAGACCCGGGCAGGGGGGCTCCTAGGAAGGCTTTTGAAGACGAGGAGGTGACTGGTGGGGTATGACAAGGCAGTATCCCTGGCTGGTAGAAGGAGAGATGGGGTTGCAGTTGGGGAGCCCCATGGCATTTCTGGTTGAGTTTGGGGGTTTGCTCCCACCCGTCCCCGTTGTGGCATCAGGTCGGAGCAGCCGTGCCTCCAGCCCTGACCGTGTCCCTTTCTCTCCCCAGGAGCCTGATGCCGCGCACGCTGGAGGGGCAGATCACGATGGAGAAGACCCCCAGCTACTTCGTCACCAAGGAGGCTCCCCGCCGCATCTACAACATGTCTCGGGACACGAAGCTGATCGTGGTGGTGCGCAACCCCGTCACCCGCGCCATCTCGGACTACACGCAGACGCTTTCCAAAAACCCCGCTATCCCCAGCTTCCAGGCCCTGGCCTTCAAAAACGTCAGCACGGGACTTATCGACACGAGCTGGAGCGCGGTGAGGATTGGGATCTACGCCAAGCACCTGGACAACTGGCTGCAGTACTTCCCCCTCTCCAAATTCCTCTTCGTCAGTGGGGAGAGGCTCGTCAGCGACCCAGCCGGGGAGATGGGCCGTGTCCAGGACTTTCTGGGTCTCAAGAGGGTGGTGACGGACAAACATTTCTATTTTAATGAGACCAAGGGCTTTCCCTGCCTGAAGAAGCCGGAGGGCGGCAGCAAGCCCCGCTGCCTGGGGAAATCCAAGGGGCGGCCGCACCCCAAAATTGACGTGCAGGTGGTCCAGCGCCTGCGGGAGTTTTACAGACCCTTCAATATGAAGTTTTATCAGATGACAGGGCAGGACTTCGGGTGGGACTGAGCTATCCACAGGGCACGCCGCCATGCTGGGACCTGGTCTGCCCAGCGGTGCGCGGAGCCAGGACCGTGGTCCAGGGATGCTCGTGGCTGCCCCACCAGCAACCTCCTCCCTTCGTTCTAATTTATATCGGACCTCTTCTGGTGAGAAATGGACCCTTCTGGAGTAGAGAGAAATATTTAAGAAATAAAAACACAGATGACCCCTCTCCCCTTCCTGACCAGATTAAATATTCTTCCATATAAATCTTGCTAATCTATATTAACTGTGACCATTCTGGGTGGCAAGTGGGAGCGTGTGAGTGCATGGATGGGTGTGTGTGCATGCGTGGAGATGACGACTCTGCCATCCACAATAAAAGCTTTGGAAACCAGTCAGCCTCTGGGCTGTGCAGCCCGTGGGTTTTTGCTAAATCAAATGCCAGTGCTGAGCACAGGCAGCAGCTGCCGTGGGGCGGTGGGTGAGGCCGGCCGAGCAGCAGGCCCCAAGCGTGGGGTACGTTTTGCAGACAGAAAATAGTCTGCAGGAACTTCCTAGTTAAGAAAAACAATTAACGGCAGTAGTTTTGAATAAATGCCAGGTCCGGGGTTAGGGAGGGGGAGTTGCGTATCACATACCTTCCTGTGTTCTTTGAGTAACCCAGATGATAAAGTAGGGCATTTCTAACCCTTAGGATGAAAATCCCTGCTTCCCCCAAATTCACCCAAGCAGAGCAGACAAAAGCCCCAAACTCTGACCTTCCAGTTCAATAATATCAATGGATTTTCAAATCTGCAGCCATAGAGGGCCATCATGGGAGGCTGCAGAAATTAGTTTAATCTGAATTAACTAGTTTTCCCTTAATTAAAGATGAGGAAAACATTTAATTAACCTCTAATATCTTATTAGTGACTTGTATTTGTCTCTTTAATGAGCTAATTACATGTTTTCAAGGGCCCTCAGGCCCTGGATTGTTTGCAAATATGCTTTGGCTGTGGTTTCTTCCATCCTGCAAAGCTGACCATCCTGCCAGGCGTGTCGTGCCATCGCCTCCCCTCCTCGCTGCTGCTCTCCGGGAGTGATGGAGGCGGCAGGTACCCCTTCTCCTGGGATGCACAACAGGCACCGGCCCCTTTCCTCCCAGCTCCAAGGTGGTTTTACACCGGCACGTTGTGCTTTACCCTGCACAGCTCTCTCCGCTCCTCCGTCCCGGCTGCTGGCACCTCCTTTGTGTCCCTTGGAGGTGACGTGTATTTTCTGTACCGATGCTCTGGGCTGTAGCTGAGGTTGAGCCCATTTGCCCAGTTCAGCCCCTGGGCTCTTCTGGTCACTGCCGGGACAAGTGACATGTGCGGGGACGGTCTTGACGTGATGCTGGAGTTAAACGCGAACCGTTGCCTGTTTCTGCGCGGGGTGTCGCGGCGTGGGTCCACGCGTGTGCGAGAGGTGCCGGGGACAGACACAGATGCCACCGGTGCGATGCCAGAGCCTGGGGGCTTTGCGGCCGCTCTTAAGAACCCGGGATATTGTAAAAGAATGGTCACAAGAGCTGAAATCGGGACCGGCTAAAATCCCAGAGCCCTCCGAGGGACGCAGCCGTTGCCGGGTGGGCCTCGGCACCCCGCGCCCGGTGCGGGGTCCCCCCGGGACCGCGAGTGCCCCGACCGCCGACCTGCTGGGGGCTGGATGTCGGAGCGGCTGGAGCCTGTTGTCAACCTCGCTGGCAGCTCCGCATGATGGACTGCGCTCTGCTTGTTTAGGTTTTGTTTCCAGCCACGACATTCGACCAAATTATTCTCCACGAAGGGCTTTAAAGTTTCCCAAGTGCCTGTGAAAGCCTGGAAACGCTGATAGTGATCCTATTTCTCAGCTGAGTGACTGCATTCAGCCCCAGCCGTATTGATATGCAAAACGTTAAGGGTCCCGGCTCTAAAGATGGTTTCTGTCTGCCCTGTGAAAGGGAGCCATACTTTTTTAAAGCCCGGGCCTTTCTAAAGCCGCACAATACCATATAGACTATGCCATTTAAAGCATCTGAAGCGACCCAAAATGTATTGAAAGCTTGCTTTGCAGACTCATTAAGACTACTCAATAGGTTCTGGCAAATACCGTGCCAGGGCTGACCGCACGGATTAAGACTTTTGAAGTGTTACACAAACCCCCTGCTTAAACTAATTGCTGCCCCGCAGCTCATGAGGTCAAGTATTTGTATTCATTGCCTCCGAGAGGAGCCACTTATGGGTCTGTCCAGGTGAAGTCTGCACTTCATTAGATCAAGACAATAAAAGCGGCTTTGGGTAGGAAGGGGGAAGGTACCCGGGGTGAAATCTCCCGGCTCTTGCTCTGAGCGCAAGCAAAGGCTTATGTCCAGCACGGCAGCCTTTTGGGTCGTTTCTGTCGCTTTCAAGAGCCCCAACGGAGCGATGCGCTTCCAACCAAAGCTGCTCGGTGCAGGATGGCGGCCGGGCCGGTGGCTCTGCCAAAGATCTGTGCCACGTCGCTCTCCGGTCACCTGCAGCACGTGGGGACGTGGCACCCACATCCCACTCGTGCTGTCCCGTCGTGTGGGTCCACCCAGCGTCATGGGGGTTTCGGCTCGAGAAGCGAGTTGGCGTGCAAGGGAAGGGCTGGGGTGCGGGAAGGGTGGGCATCGCTCGAGCAGCAATTGCTTGAAAGTCAGCGTGTTCACCGAGCACTTCTCCACCGTGATGTTTTGCTCCCCAGGGTCGGGTGGATTCTCTTCACCGGCCCGACAGGGATCCCATCACGTGCTAGTGCAACATGTTTCTCATGCCTATCTGGAGGAGAAACCGCCTTTGCCGTCACTGCCTCAGCCACCTAATTAAAAAAAGAAGATTTAAGAAAAACCAGCAGCTGATTTACTGAAGGTGTCAGCTCGCACCTGAGCGGAGGCACAACACAGCTCTTGTGCTGTCTCACCAAGAGCCGAGGACTACTGAGAAAAAGAAATCTGCCTCTTTATTGTAGGTGCTTTGGTGGAGCTTATTTGGGAACCCTTTCCCTGAGAACAGGCTAGTGGGCTCTTAGGGAAATTGAAGCTGAAGCCCCCTTTGCAGTGGCTTTTGTAATCATTGGTATCAGCCCGTGCACCCTGGCTTTGGGGCTGCTGCTGCCAGGCTCAGGCAGGGGCTGGGGGGTCTCCCCTGGCGGGACCCCGCGGTGCTGCGATGCTGCTGGGAAGCGGCACTACCAGGGACCGCCGGCTGGCCAGGGTGGTGGGGCTCCGACCGCTCAACCTGGTGCACTGCGGTCCCTGCGTGGGAGATGCTGCGGGGTCAGGAATTGTTCTGAAATGCCCCCCGAAAACTCCTGCAGAGGCTCAGGGACAGGCATCACAGCTGCATCTTTCTGCACAAGACCTCTGGAAATAAAGTTATAAGAAGATGATCCTGAGTTGTGCTGATGTCTTATATGTGCCTGCTACTGCACACCACTGGGGCGTGCTGGGGAGGGGACATAGTCCCACATGGCTGCTTTTATGACTTTTTCCCTTCGTTGTGTCTATCTCAGCTTGCTGAAAATCCAGAAACCTGGAAGGGGATATTTTCCCCCCAGGACAGCAGATGCTGGGAGGATGTGCTTAAAAACTCAGGCCAGCACCCGACATCTATCCGCTCCCCAGCAGGCTGCTGGTGCTTCCTTGGGGAAGTGTTTCCAAGTAAGCTCCCGAGAGAGTTTGGGCAGTGGCGTGCCCGTGTCTGCTTGCTCAGAGGATGACGGCAAGATCCCCTGCACTGCCAGAGCTACAGAAATGCCTTTGGGGCACCAGGTTATATAGGGGAAGTGCCAGAGCATGAGGGTGATGGAGATCCAGCTTTGCTCTGAGTGTGAAATGAAGTTTTCATCCCTGTCTCAGTTAACCAAAGTTTCCATTTCTAACCCCATTTTTGTTTTGAAAATCCAGCTATCCAATGTGTTGTGGTTCCTGTGCCCTGTGCCTCCCCCTCCATCCCAACCACTTCATAAGCCAGGAAGAGCAGGGTTGCAAGAGCTTTCCAAAATTTTTGTTTACTCCTTTTGCCTTTATACCAAATTTAGGAGGACAGAAGTGAAAGAACAAAAATAGAAGAAAAAAAAGCTCCAAAAGGAAGAAATTAAAACTTCCCTGCCTTTGCGTAGGTCTGGAGTTGCAGGAGAGCAGCAGGACTAATTTGCAATTATACATTTCATTTTGATGCGCCCTGGGAATGTTTTATAGCCTGTAAGAGGGAAAGCCACACTTTTCCCTGAAAATGCCCCATCCGTCCCTATTCCCTGCCTGCCGTGGGGTGTGTCCCCCACAGCAGAGACCCCAGGTGGGGCTTGTGCTGCCAGGGCCATGGGGCACCTGTGGGCTATAAATGCAGGGAGGGCGGGGGGGTTTGGATCTTCCCTGCAAGACCTGCTCCAGCTGTGGAGAGTGCCGAGGGCTGTCCCGGCTCCGGGAGCAGGAGCTGGCTGGTACGGGGGGACAGGGGGGCTACTGCCAGGGATGTCAGACACCCTCTGTGCTGCTTGTGGGGGGCTGTAGGGACAGTGTGGTGTTTGGGGATGGAGCAGCAGTGCTCAGGGAGCGTCTGTGGGTGCTGGTGCATCCTGAGGTTTCCAGTGTTTGTGCTTGGGGTCTGCAAGAGGAGCTTTGCCTGTCCCATGGTGCAGTCCTGTATCTCCCCCAGTGTCCGAGTGCTCACCCTAGGGCCACTGGTGCTTCTTTGGTACACGATGAGGGGCCAGTGGCTCCGTGGGAGTGGGGCAGTGAGCAGGGCTAGGATGGTCCCGTGCTTCCTGCTGAAATGAGCTGCAGTGCGGACAGCATCACCTGCAACCCTCCTGCCTCAGACAGCATCACCGGCGACCCTCTGCCTCATCCCATACTTGAGGACATCTGGGGCTGTGATGCTTCTTGCCTCAGGGCACGCTGTGGTGGCTTCCCTTCCTGGCCAGCGCAGAGGAGAGCTCTTGGGAGGGACGTTTTTGTCCCCTCACAGTGTCCTGCCTTCCTGCAAAGCTCCCCGGCACCACAC